CCCCAAAACCCCAAAACCCCAAAACCCCAGATTTGGTAATATATTGAATTCCAATATTGATAAAACTAAATCATGATAGAGATTAAGTTTTACAAGGATCGCAAAGATCCATATTTTTATCTAATCTTTCTAGTCTATTTAACTTCTATGTATCCGATGAACCCTTGGTCAATGTCAGGTTCTTCTTTTGCACCAAAGCAGAATTCCAGCAATTTGACAAAGCTCTCATTGTCCTCACCTGAGGATAGTCTCACTGTTAGCTTTCTGTCCGTTCCTAGTCTTAGATAACTGAAGCATTTCAGTCTTGAGATACTTCTTAGTTGTGCTGAGAGAGCTTTCTTTTGCTTTGGATCAATTAGGCTTCCATCTTTTCTGTTACCCTCGATCATCATTGAGGAAAGGTTCAATTTTAGGTATTTCATGAGTACTTTGAATTGTTGCTTTCTATAAGTATTTTCAGAAAATAAATTGATTTATTCATATGTGCTTTAAATAGTCAAAAATTAGCTGATTAAAGCCTTCCTCTTGAAGAATACTATTAGCTAAAGATATTAGTGTGTTTTTATTACTAAGCAAGTTAGAATCAGACTCATGCCCAATGCTATTTCAAAGATATTCTATATTACTTTAATTTTTGTAGTCTCAGTTTGATATTTAACTGTGTCAAGCCATCTGAAGATTCTAGTTTTTCAAGACTCTCCTCAATAATTTCTATAGATATTAGCAAAGAAGACTACTCTGTTTGTTAGATTTGCCCTGAAAGTTTTCTAATAATTCTATGTCGATTATAAGGAATCGTTGGGAAGCATTCTTTTGCTTTTCTAAGAGTTCATTAGCATCATCTTCTTGATAGATGCCTTTAGTTTCCTCAATTCTTTTAGTTTTCTTTACATTTTGTGAACAGAGAGATGTTGCAAAAGATCAAAGTCTTATCGCTTCCGGGCCTCTTATATAATCAAAATTCTTGTTTTCAATTACAAATGCTCTTTGAGGATCCTCAAATCTGTTCAACAACTCAATCACTACAAAATCACTCTTATTCCATACCTCTCTCATCTCCACATCCAAAAATATCATAACTAATCCCAACAAGACTCATCTGAAAAACACTCTGGAAGGCAAAATACTCCTCTGTCACAAAATACCTCTCTTCTGACCCACTTAACTCTTCCTAAACTATCACAAATCCTGCGTACCAGTTTCTTATCCAGGCTCATATACAAATCAAACCTAAATATGTAGATAAACCCTTTCTTACTTTTTCAAAAGGTAGGCCTTAACGTTCCCTTCTTCGTCAAACCCGTACATTTTGACGCTACTACAAGAGAAGGTCTTGTTGACATCCCATTCTTTTTGCTGGTCTTTGCTTCCGTTCCAGATTGAGCCTCCATCTAGGATGATGTGGGTTAAGCCTGAAAGTTAGTGGAGAGATACTTGAGAAGGAGTAGCCGTAGCTGCAGTTAAAAATGTCGATGGTGCTGATGTTGGGGAAGGTGAAGTAGAGAGTTGGTAAGTGGATAGATGTTATGTTGTTTTCGAATTTATTTGCAACTTCGCTGTAGGAGAGGTGAGATGGGGTGGAGAAGAAGGATTACTTTGGAGGAGGGTATGATTTTCCATCATCTAAGTCATACAGGTATAGTTTCGTTATTTCTGCTCTTCTTTCTAAAGGAAAAATAACTTAAAAACAACATTTTGATAGTTTAACCAAATTTCTTCAAAGCTTAACTGCAAAATATCGTTATAAAATTTTTATTAATCCCAAGTAAATAAAAATAGTTTACCTATATTTATATTTTCATCAGTCAGATCTATTAAATCTTTGACATTAAAAGCTAGTTCTTCAATTTTGACTTCTCTTTCATTCAATTCATTATCTATAGAGAATAAGAACTGCCTAAAGAATTAATATTTTATCTGGAAATCACTCACAGATTTCAGGAAGATACCAAGAGTCTAACACCAAAGTCTTGATTCTCTTGCACTTCCTCCATATCTTTTGCTCTGAACTACAGATTAAGACAATCTCTAACCAGCAAGTATTACAATATTCCAACATTTGGTCTACATCTTCTTTGCTTTCTAAAGATGCTTAAATTCTTTCTAAAAACAACAACAAACGAGGCTGTACCTTCCTGAACCGATGGATACACAGAGGTGTAATTCCAGTTTCTACATAAAGTTATCGATACAACCAATCCACCAAACCCAAATAAAATTCCTACCCATATACCACCCCTCCCACTTACCTGCTTCCCTCTGTATTCAAGAAGTCAACACTGGCTCCTTCAATCTGTACGCATGAAGTATCAATCTTGCTTCTCTGCAGTACACAAAAGACCGCATTAATGCTTTCCACTTTTTTAAGATTTATACTAACAATACACCTGACTCTGAAGAATCCTAAAAGTAACGTTTTATTACTAACTTAGCAAATGTTTGTCTTCAACTAAATTTATACAGCCAGAATCTATAAGGATGAGCAAGAATTTAGACAGCTTGGGGGCTCAGTGTAAATTGGCAGAAGAGGTCAACTTGGGTCTCGTTTTTAATGGTGATGTCTAGGATGTAGCTGATGTACTTGCTGTTTTCTAACAAATAGTTGGCAATGTCTTCATCGAATCCTTTATGATACTTGAGGACTTGCTTGTTTTGGTAAAGCCTAACTCTAAATGCAGTCTTATAGTTTAACCACATCTGTCTGCATTGACTATTGAGTTTTGGAATAAGAGCTTTGGCTTCATGATATCCTCCATAAAAGAGCATGATAGAAGAGCAGTGGCTGAATTTGGATAGTAAGTGTATTATCGGGTAATCTTGATACATATTTTCTTATTTAATAATCTTTTTCATTTTGAGAATGCTTAAATGGGGTTTTGGGGTTTTGGGGTTTTGGGGTTTTGGGG